TCCCTTCCCACTTAAAACAGATAACAGATGAACAGAAAGCTTAATGAAACCTCACACAAAGGTTATGTAGAATTTTCTAAATACTCTTGGTATGTAATTGCCTGGAAATTACTTCATCCTGCATTTATGGTTCTTGTGGATGAACAATTTTGTCTTGAACTCTTGAATTAGGTCTGCAATTCCAGGGCTATTTAGACTTCATAAGCTGTGATATGAATCTAACAAGTGCACATGGGCATATCCACTCCAAGTTTTGATTCATATAATGGCAACAACCATCCCTCCACGCACACACCCCCACCTCCCACCCCTAGCCCACATCTCCTCACAATTTTGTCAGGTACCTTTCATTTTATTAGAATTCAGCTCAGTGGCAAAGCTCAAAGTTCATAAAAAATAAAAAAATGAATTAACATGCTTGTCAAGTTTCCCTTGTTTGTGTCATTCCAAACTTGCTGGAAGGCAGCTTGAGAGCAGAATTTTGAAACTTTGGTATCTCAAAAAGCCTGCTCTTTGACTTTGTGCATTCAGGCATGCACCAGACAAAGTATGCAAAGACCAGTGAAAGCTTTTGCTTTATTGGGAAACCCCCTCCTCCTTCTCAGAATTAAATATCAATTCTTTACACAGTCTGCTGCACATTTCTTCAAATTTCAGCTCAGATAATTTGTGTATATTTTTCTTTCCTCTCATTTCCAACATGCAAAACATTTTGTAGCTGTTTTTAGGAGAACTTACTCCTTGGTCACTGCAGGGAGTGAAAGGATCAAAATTCAGCTTAATAATTTAGAGTACATAAATAATCTTAATTCAGAGTACATTCACTCTGATGAAGGGCTAGGACTCGAAACATCAGCTTTGAAACTCTCTACAGTGGTCAATTCACATTGTCAACTTGGTTGTAATATTAAATTTCACAGTAATAAAATTAGAGCATGGAGGGTCCACAGCAAACAAGTTGGAAATCAGTATACTGGCACATTCTATTTCATTTTTATGTGCTCTTTCATTCCATTCATCCTTGAAAGTAGGATATTGATAAAATTCAATGAAGCATTTTTCACATGTGAGTCCTAGGGTTTAAAGTACCTGATTTGAGACTTTGTTACAGATCAAAGCTATCCTGTTATTTTCTGTTCACATGACCAGATTAAAAAAAAATCCCAGCCATTATTAACCCAAAACGTACCCAAATGATCCCTGTAAATTATCCCCCCAAAATGAAGAACTTTGCACTTTGTACCATTCCTAAGTTCAGGCTTGAAAATGTGACTAAATTTTCACTGCTCAATAAACAGTGAAGCCCCTAAATCAGGAAACATAATTCTCATTTTCTGGACTCAATAATCCTTTTGTCTTTGCTGTACACATTATCTCTGTCAGATGAAAGCTCTTGACAAAAAATAGATCTGTAACTTTGGACAGAGAGCAATACCTCTTCAACAGCCAATGAAACAGATGTTACTGGCTCACAAGATCCCTAGGTGCAGACAACTTACACCGTTCAGCCTCTCATGTGGGCCTAGGTTAAGGTCACTGAAGGTTATACAAATGAAATTATTACTTCTCCCAAGAAGAGGAGAAAGAGCACTGCATGATGAAAACAAATTACAGTGACTATGAAAGAGGATCAGTGAGAGAAACTCCTTGTGCAAGAGGGTGTTGGTCCTTCCATAACACTAAAAACCACTGCAGTCAAGATTGAACCTACTTTGCTAATTGCACTACTCTACAATCAAAAAATGTACAAGCCAAACACCGGATTCCTTCACAATGAAAACATTTGGGGCAAAAGAAAAGATCACAACTCAAACTGTTGATACCCTTTCAAAACAGAAATACTGGGTAATTAGGGAGTAGAGTGTGTTGATTTTGGACCACCATATCTTGCATGCTATGTTCAATCCAAAAGTGATGGCAGTTTAATTATATCCAAATTGAAAACCCAAGAATTTAATCACTGATCAGGAGGGACCCTTGCATGCAATATTTCATTAGGGAAAATGATCTAGAGTAACATTGGCACCTTTCCTTCTACAATTTCTTTCAGATTTCCAATAATTCCCCCTTTGTTGAGGGCAAGAGCTGAAAGTTGAGCTCAAATTGATCATAACTGGCAAAAGCAAAAACCAAAAGGTGGTCACTTTCAACAAAGTCTTACCAAATTATTCTCTTATTATTTCCTTTCATATCTTTGGAAAAGAACATGCAGCTTCAGGCAGTCAAATTCCCCACCCCCGAAAAAATGCATTGCAGATGTTTCCAACTGATGTTTCACTTCATATTCCTCTCAGAACAAACATTGCACAAGGGAAGGCTGGTGTAACACCACCAAATTTTACAAAAAGGGAAGCAGAAATAAAGCCTTACTCTGTTACCCCAAATAATTGGGTCAATATGTTTCTCACCTTCCAGTCTAGCACAATACATTATTTTAGACCACTTTCTGATGTTTAAAGGGAACCTTTAAATTTTTGTTGACATTCCTCAGTGACACTTGACAAAACTTTAATATTGTTAATCAGAGTACTGTTGACAAAAAGGATTATCAATTTTCAATTCTGACGGATAAAAATTAACAGTTATTGCCATGTATCACAAACCCACTTAGTTTCATGTCTACCCCATTCTGGCTCCAATTTGCCAGGCCACAAATAGAAAACCACACTAAGAAAACTACTCTTTTCCTTTGAAAAATATTCTAGTTCTTTTCATTCAAAAAAATGTTGGAACACCTTCAAACTCACTGCATGAATATTACTTAACACCTTTTCTGAACCAATATCATACAGAAGAACCTCACAAGAGGTCTTCTCATTTCACAAATCCTTCTAAATATAATCACACTTAAGATGTAAAGCATGATACCATCCACTTCACTTTGTTTTAACCCTTTATAACAGGTTCCAACTAGACAGGGCACAACAATATGTTCCATTTTTAAAGGTGCAAAGTCTTCTGGAGACATGCTAATTTTTGCATTAATTTTTGTCAAGTGATTTTGACAATTTTTCTCTCCAAGTTTAACCCCTTAGCAACTAGAATGAGTAACACAAGCCACACATGCAAAATAAACCAACACTCATATGATTGCTCAGTTTTAATTTCAACTCTTAAGTATAATTTAACAATACATTTTACAGGAGACAGTCTCTTAATGTCTACATACTCAAAACACTTGAATTCCATTGAGACAACATTCACTCTGACTCTGTTAGACCTAACTATCATGTACAGCACACCATTTCTAAACGAAAATACAATGCTACACCTTTCGAATTCCATAGCATTTTAACAATAAGGTCTGAAAAAATATTTTGGAAAGTGAAGTGTAAAACTGAGGTATCAGGACTTCATTGTTTACATGTATATCAACTTGTGAGTTTCACAAGGCCACTACAAATGGTGGCAAGATACCAATATCACAATAATACTATGCAAATTGAAAGGGTAGCAACCTTTTTTCAATTTTCTTGCCTCTCTGTAGTTCCAGCTATCGACAAACTGTTTCACTTTGTGATCAAGAATTAAAAAATAAATGGAAAATAATTGTATATTTAGGCCTTTCTGCTCCCAAAAATTTGTCTTTAATGAGGGAACACTAAATAATTGCGGCTTAGACTTAATTCACTACTACAATTTGCAATAATATGCAGGGGGAAAAAATTAAAGTATTTTTGTCTCTACAATCAGCAATAGAACAGCATGCAATTTGTGCTACAATACCAAAATTTTAAGACAAATTTGCGGCAAGGCACTAAAAAGGCCTTCCAAACAAAACGGATGCATGCAAAACAAAAACTAATACACTATGATATGAACATATAAATTACTCTACTTCTTTAGATTTATTATTGTAATGTCGCTTGGTGTTGACTCCAAACTTTACCAAAAAAAACTATTATCCTCTTAGCAAGTCTTAGATGTTCTCGGTTCGTCTTCTCGAGTAAAAAGAAAAATTAACACACGCTTCGGGTTAGCCTTAAGTTAGTAAGGGATACTCAATCCACTTGCCATAATAAACATCACAAACACGTGTAAAATCTACGGAAGGCGAAAGCATCGTGAAAATCGGGAGGGTTTAACCCCCCACAACAAAATTAGATATTAAATCCCAATTAGATTGTCCAAAGCATATCTTTGCTCTCACGTCCACGTATTAATCGATTCTCGTCATTTGTGCAAGTTTTCACAGTTTACATAGAACATCACTACTGAATCGCAAAAGAAAGCAGCTAATTTTAATCCTGTTCGAAATAGGAAAGACTCGAACAAGATTAGAACATACTTCTGTAAATATTTACCGAATGTGGTATAACGTTCGAGTGAGAGCAGACGAGTTAAAGGGGTTCTACTAAATAACTTCAAATTCCAGCATAATAAATGAATATAGATATTTATTGTCGAGAATTCAAAGAAAGAGCTTATACTTAACCTTACATAAATACCGTGGTTCCTTTGCCTGCAATCTCCGATTCAATTTGTTACCACATAACTCACGACTAGTCAATGTTGTGTCTCAAAATTAATATCCACTACGACTAGACGAAATTTATTGCGCAGGTACCAGAGCGATGAATATTGCTTCGTGAGTATTATTACACTTCTTTCAAGTTTCTCATAACAATCAAAATATTATAATAAAAAATTAATGTCTTTGTACTGATGTAACCGAGCGAGATCGCTGCTACTTAATTCGAAAATCGCTATCTTCTGAAGCCCCACCTAAATTGTGAGAATGACACACCTTCGCAAAATTACACCGATTTCGGGTTTTCAACCGAATTCCATCTCAACGGGGCTGCTTCTATCGAAATGACCAACTTTTGTCTCGATTTTAACGGTCAAATACTGGCAATGAAATAGAGGAATAGTGAATAATAATCAGGAAGAATCGAGAATGGATTTACAGTCACGAATCGATCGCGCGTTGAACTACTCAAATTTCCCTCGCAACGGCGAGTGAGCAGCGATTCAATGAATGATCCAGGCATAACACACAACCTCTCTCTCGCTCTCTCTCTCTCCGAGCAAAAAAATCTGTGCACGTCTCGCAGGTAAGCAAGGAAAAATAATACTTACAAAAAGGAACCTACGTCCCTAGATTGAACGCCTAAAGTAATTCATTAGTATTCGGTTAGGTTATAGAAGCATTTTGTTTGCTCAAAGTTCACATAAAACGAATTTGAAAAGCTTACAGTTTATTCCTGAGCGGCTTCCTCGGGTTTAGGTTCCTCACCTCCATCGCCGTTGACCACGGGAGTTTCTTCCTCTTTCTTTTCTTCTGATTCCTTGGCCTCCTCCTCTTTTGATTCCTCCGCTTGTTCCTTTGGTTCTTCGGCGGCTGCCTCTTCCGTTGCATCTCCATTTACCACGGGCTCCTCTCCATTTTTTTCGTCTCCCTCTCCTTCTTTCTTTTCTTCGGTTTCTTTTTCTCCGCTGGCTTCGCCTTCTTTGCTCTCGGCTGCTGGCTCTTGGGACTTGGTCCTCTTTTTCTTTTTGACACTTAGCCTTGATTTGGGTCGTGTTTCTTCGACTTGCTCCTCAGAGGAAAGATCATTCCAGTCTAGCCAATAATTATTCTTCATCTGGTGGCAGAAATCGACTAGATTTTTCAAATCTTCATTCACAACTTTGGCCAGGGGCGAGTTTTCGGCCGTGTGCAACAAGCATGACAGCAGGCCAAACACCGTGCAATCGATAGTAGTGGGCTCTGAACCCATGAAGAACTCTTTGTCGCCCAGGAACGCTGATAGCGCACGAAGATCCTTCTCGCCGATAGCATAAATTTCTTCTTTGTTATGCTTGCCAATTTCGTGCGCTTCTAAGCACTTCACGCACTTGCCTTGATCGAGCTTCGGGCGTACATTCTTTCTGACAACATCCAGCCCTTTGAAGTATTTCTTGGTTTCTGCGAAGTTATCCACCCATCGGTAATACATCAGACTCCAGAACGTGTTTTCCTCGACCATACTTTGAAAAGCTCGCGAGCAAGCTTTGTCCATATCACTCAAATTTGCATCGGGGTCCACTCCGAACTTGGAATTAAGGAAGCCTATGAGGTCGTGTTTCTTTGTCTCGCCTTGATATTCGATGTACGGTAACTTCTGATCAGTACCAGGTTTGTAAACGTTTTCGTAAGGGATCTTCAGCATACGGCAATACGTTTCAACTTTAATACAGGCGGGGAGGGGCGAGGGAATAGCATTCCACGGTGGATGTTGATACAGTGAAACTTTTGGCGGTACGGCTCCATTAGCATCTTCTTGTTTTTCGCCGTCGACGACCGCATTCTCCTCGTCCGGCTTGTTTTCATTTGCCTGCTCCTCATTCTTCTCCTCGACATGATTCTCTTCGGGTTTTTCGACCTCTTCGGTTTTCGTTTCGATCGGATCGATCTCAATATCCACAGGCGGTGATTCAACTTCTGTCGCCATCCTTACGCTTCGAAATCAGCAAAAGTTATGCTCAATGATCAAGGCTTCGATCAGCTACAACGCCTTTCTGTAGCCAACTAAGGCCAAGCCCAACAATGACCTTTAGCTTACTTGAGCACCACGCGTTATTAGCACGTTTCAAGTTTATAAATTGACGGTATTGTCAAAATATTGGCCAATCGAAAGTTGTCTTAAATTCACAAACCAATCACGTGCGTTGTTGCTTAGGTTGGCAAAGTTATGGGTGTGAGGTATAACAAAATGCCGAAGTGGGGTGGTGCTGGGGCAGACAGATTGAAGTACACAAAGGAGAAAACGTTTTGTGCATCAAAAGAAGTGCCAAACTGCAAACAAAGGAGGTAATTTTCGTTTGACAACTCAATAAAACCGTGTAAATGTTCTGCGTGAGCGAAATTCTTCGCAGAGAGATTCAAACGGTCCGACTGCACATTTTTCTTCGGAGCTTTTCTCTCGATCGCTGCGTGATATTCTAACGATTGCATGATTTTATCTTTTTCTCGATATTCTTTTGAGTGGGGCTGGATCGATTAAATTAGTCTCACTCGAAATCGCGTTGAAGTTAGGATCCATTACACGGAACAGCGACACCAAAATACTGGTTGGAGAAAAGAAACGAACTTGTTCGTGATAACGGCGGGAACAGAACATTACACACCAGTCAAAAATTATTTTGATTGTCGATTGAGCAACTTTACGTCGTAGGGGGGTCAAAATTTTAATCTAGTCTTTTTCTCACACACCTGAATTGAAATTTTACTGAAATGGGCGGGAGTAAACACGGCTTTAATACAATAAATATGTGACGTAATCGAGACAAGGAATAAGCAACAATTCCCTCTGTGTCTTTTATAGTGCAAAGTTCTGTCCCAAAGTCTTCCGTTCGACCATTTGGTCCAAAAAGATAAATTGTGAATATATTAAAGTTAAAATCTATTTCACGTCGAGATGAATCGGCGCTCCTAAATATTTTGTAGAGGCAGGAAAGGGCCAAAATGTGGTCGTGTTTTAAACATTTCTCAACAATCTTATTTCGAAGTTTGCGTTAATTAATCAGTGGTTAAACGCCTGAAAAATGCAAATTTTAGATTCGCCGTTTTGTCAAATTTTATCAATAATAATTTCGAGTCGAATAGAAATAACTGCGGTGTAAGTATGATGCAAGCGACACAATTGTAAAAAAAATAACTAAGTGCAAGTCGAACTTTGAACGATCGATGTTATGAAACGAACCGTTGTGAAACGAACACAATTTTTTTATTGGCACTTAATTTGTGATGATTTGTCGACAGACTAAATGTTGCCATGATGCTATCGTGCTCGATAAAACTGTTTTTTTGTGTGTGTGTGTCTTAAAAAGATAGTCGCAATAAAAAATATAGGAATTTTTGGGGTGAAATTTATTGCGTAGACGAATTGAAACTTTCTCCCATAGCCAGGAGGTTAAGGGTTATGCAACTATGATTTCATTATTCACAGCTTATGTCCTCATTGGCATAAACTTGTAAATAAAACGCCCTGGCTAGCTCTAGTTGCAGATTACAGTTGCTCCTTGTTGTGAGTCACTTTCACGTGAGACATGTTTCCGATCTAAAGGTCGTTTTGTCAGTGCAGTGCGGTGAAAACCACGTTTAAATCTGAACGATGTAATTTTTATTACGCCTGTTACGACGATGGATCTATTTCATTGTTGACAGAACATGATGGTATTTGGCTAATTTAATAGTGTTATTGCGGTGAATCCATGTATGTTGGCATTCGTTATCTGCCCTATTTTCGTCGCCCTTGCGACTGTGGTCGATTTCATCACGTGCCAAGCATCACGCATTCCTCGCCTCAACCCCAGCAGTGACACTTCCGATCACGAAAAAAAAGATGCCCCCGTAGAGTTCTGCTGATTGCAACACTGAAGATCCAATTTGCTTCTCGCGGTTTCATGGGGACATCGATACAAGGCATTCCTTTCCACTGAAAGAAAAATGTTTTTTTTCAAAGCCAATACCAGGTAATCGTTCTTCTCAAAACAAACTATTTTTGCTCCAAGAAAAACAACACTATTTAAACTGGCACAATACAGAGGTTGTACTTTGACAGCAAGGGCATTCGGAAAAGGCGTTCGAAGGGGAACTCATAAAATTTCAAGTATCTCCTGATGAACAATTATTTTAGGGGAAATCGTGAGGCAATGTGAGTCTGTAAGGCTCAATGTTCGAGAGGTCTGTAAATCGTCCTTGCCAACCCCTCCCCCTCCCGCCTTTTTATTGCTGGACTTTGTCAAAATCGTGACCAGTTAGTCAAAAGTTTGATAGTCACAAGGGCAAGGGTGTTAAGATTTCCCTATGGCACCATTCTATGTGGGCGAATTCATCACGTTGTTGCCATTTCGAACATTAGTGTTGTATGAGTCATGTGAAAAAATGCTGGCTTGGGAAAAGAGGGAGCCGAGGTTAATATATTCATTACATACTTGGCTGGTCGATGGAATTAACCATTTCAATTTATTCCATGTTTCGTCTGTAGCCTCAAGGGAAGCATCGATAAACGGAGTCTGACAAACGCATTGAGTTCGCCGCTAGAGCAATATTGGCAGTGATAAAAGATCGTGGCACCTCTTTGCGGCTTGCGCCTTGTATGTTGAGGTTGTTATTCTCGCTGACTTGCAATTGAACAAACAACACCGATAAACTAGCAGCATGAGAGCCATAGAAAAAAAAAAAGATTGAGCGGTCGAGCGGCTTGAATTATATTCAGCTATTTTGTAGTAAATTTTCGAACCGTTTATTTCCTAACACGAGATGAAAAGGGAAGACACTATTTTTGAAAGGTACACCATTCATGTGCGTTACACGTTATTGCGGGTGGCTCCCACGATACATAAACCCTAAAGTAAAGGAAGTAAACCCATATCATACCGGTAACTTGTGATCATTTTTTTGTCTTTCAGTGAGCACGAATGCGTTGCGTTACACAAACAGAGCGGCGTTGTGTTACATCACGGCAAAATATGTGGCGTACTCTTCATTTAGTCACGCTCGAGCTTTTGATGCTTTCAGGATTGAGAGTTCGGCTTAAGAAATTTTATTGCGATGGTTCTTTTTTTTTTTTTTAAGTTAAAGAATTTGGCAATTGTCTCTCAAATGAAATTGAAAGACAGTAAAACATCCAATTCGTTCTGGTGACAATGATTGAGTAATCTGAAAGCGTTTCCATTCCATTCATTTTAGGACAATTCTTGAGGGGCATACTTTGGGTTCCTTCGAAGATAAGAAATGTCTTCACTCTACCGCCATTGTAACAATGGCACTCGGAAAACCACAACAAAAGTTGTTATTCCTTATGTACGGTGCATATTGGAAAGGGGCCGAGAGTTAGTTCAAGTTAAAAAAATATTATTTTTTTCACTGTTTATCGAAAACTGTATTATTTACATTGCTGGACAATTGGAACATGTCAAGCGTAGCCCTGAACTTCGCTAAGGGCACTTAAATCTTTTGTAAAACAAATTATTTTTAAAAAGCACATCAAAGAGTCGGTGTCGTAGAAAGATGACCCGAGTGTAGCACTGTAATGAGAAACACACCCCTTCTTTAAAGACCTACAAAAGCCCACAAATTTACGGGAAAATGAATTAAGAATTTGCCAGTTCGTGTGTGGTATCCTACCTGAGGTCAAAATCTTGAAATGTTTCAAATATATAGTATGATAATTGTAACTTCTTACAGTGTTTTCATAATTGTAATAAAATGCAAAGAATTCCATTCTTATCGCGGGCCCTTGCGGGCAACTAAGTTTTATTCCTGTTTAGGAATTTTTAGATCCGTTTTTCTCAAGGTACTTATGCAAAGCCAGTATTGTAATTTGCAAGAATGTGTCTCAGATCCTAAAGAATTGTGTTCAGTAGACTTAAGTAAAAAAGACATTTACTTCCTATCTGTGTCCGGTTTAAGAAGTAAACATGTTAGGAATTATCTGCATTTAAGACTAAGATATTGGGATATTGCTTCTAATATTTCAAAACCTCAAGAATCTTAATTAACGAAAGAGTGTTTTTTTTTTATTTTCCGTGTCAACAGTTCACCTGCATAACAACTTCCCGCCAAAAGTAAGCGCGGGAAAAGTTCGGATGCACAGGCCACACGCGGATGTTGGCGAATCCACAATTCCTAGCAGCAGCAGCGCGTGACGTTTGGCTGGAAAAAAAAATTCTACCACTGTACTAAACGAATGCAGATCAAAATACTCAGAATTACAGAGGCCAAGAATGCACAATTTCTCCGAATTCGAGTATTATTTAATTAGTTGTCCACTCGAGCCAGTTATATTTTTACAGGATTTGCAATGAAAGCACGAAAAATACTTTCTTTTCAACATTTTAACAAAGCGATGCTTTAAATCAACAATGAAACAAGTGGACCAGACACTTAAATGTATTTATTTACTCCGCGTTAAGTTTCCACGACAATGAAACTTAGAACGCCATGTGTTCAGCACGTGTTAGACAGCTGTTCCATGTGGTCTTGCTCGAAACACGTCCGGCACCGTATCGAATAACCTCGACACAAAGACGCGGGAACACCTCGTGCAGCTTGAAAATGTTGAACCCTCAGTCCTGCCCAAAACTCGCTAAAAAGTAAAATTTTATCATTTTTCTTCCGATGCTTTTAAATTCAATTTCGCAACTGAATATTAAACGGCACTACTCTTACCATTTTTTCGACGAACGGGGGCAAAATTTCTAATTTTTCTCGCACAAATGCTAGAATTTTAGGACATTTAACTCATTCTAGGACCAAAAGAAGCAATGTTGTAAACCATGCGATCTATAATAGTCAAGAATTTTTTTTTTTTTATACAGTGATAGATTTTTTTTAAGTTCATAAGTTTCATTTGACGTCAGCAGAAAAAATAAATTGAAAGGTCGCTTAATGTTTTCAGCGTCGGTGTAAGGTCACTTCGTTTCTCTTTCTTAGAATTTCCCGTATTCTTGGAAAAACTCTTCACACAGCACTGGATGGAGAAAAACTAATTTGTCTATGACTCAAAAGCTACACTTTAACACGCTTCCATAATCACTAGCACGTGTTTGTATGTAAACACGATCCACCCAGCTTTAGAAGTTCTTTCAATTAGAAATCTTTTAGCGTTAGCCTCACGTCCAGAGGGCAGTTCCACCTGCTGTAGACTCTGTTGTTTTCATTACTAAGCTTCCAGCTGTTTCCTAATTAACTAGCAGCCCTGTAAATTGTGCCCCCGACAACACGTTACCATCAGGAATTGTGTAAACAGCAACTGGGTTTAAAAAAGTGTGTTAAATTGACTGTTTTTCATCCCTGACGCGACTCCCGAACGTCAACTGACAACAAGCTTTACGTAGAGTTGTGCCCTTTGCACAGTGTGATAGATTTAAAAATATACCACAATGGTCAAAAATGCACAGCACGAGAATTGATTATATTTTAGATAGAGATTTAAAGCGATATCCCCCAAGTCGATTCATCCGCTTTCAAAAATCAATTCAGTATTCAACTGATTACAATTGCAAATGTAGAACTTTGCATCACGACGTGCATTTGAGCAATATTTCAAATTTTGAGCATCAAGTAGTACTCATTGAAGTGTCCCTTTCATAAATATGTCCTATTTGTGAGTGACACGCCGATAACAGATGAACCGATGGATTCCTCAACGCAAAATAGTGAATCAAGCGGTTTTTAATGAGTATAGCAAGTTAAAAATTCCGTATCAGTGATCCACAGATAAAAACAATCGCATACTTTTTATGTACTTGGGCTACCGCTGAGAAGGATAAAAGAATTTAATAACTTTTATTTGTAAGCTGGTGAACGTCGATAGTCTCCGAAATGATCGAAACCTTTCCGAATGAATCCGAAAAGTTCCAATTCTTGCAAGAGACAGAGAGAGAGAGAGGCACAAATTAGGGAGCGTTTTATCCTCCGTATCACCCGTGAATTTGAGCAAAATTTTGGCGCCACGTCACTTTTGCGAGAATCTAAACGTTATCTCCTGTTAACTACAAGTTTCGTGCTTGCAAATTTCCTCCAGAAGAAATTTAGCCTTTTTCTCAGAAGGGTTCTCTGTTGCTCAGTGGTAGACAGACCGTAGATCCGAGGTTCATGGGGAATCAGATTTTTCTTTTTTCCCACGTTCATGACAAGATCAATAACATATTTTTTCATTCCATTACCTTGCTCAAAATTTACTATCTTGCTCATTCAAAAACGACAGCAAAATTCGTGCAGAAAAAGTCAAATGTAGCCAATCAGAGTTCCACTAAGAGACTGGGATCCCTGTGTGCAAATCTGGGATCGTTACTAAATTCTAAATTCTAGTTTCTCGAATCCTTGTTCAAATCGTGATATTACTCATTGTCTTGCATGTGCCCCCACTCTCTTGATAAAGGGCTCGCACACTCTTCCGTCGTTGACAACAATGGATAATTCCAAGCTAATCTTGTTATCTTTTGGCCCGGACCAAACGGCCCCACATTGAGAGCAACCCCGAGACTTTGAAAACTTTGAAAAAAATGCCAGACTTCTAGACCGAAATAAGTTAATCATTACTTGATTTTGAGACCATCGTAAAAGTTGACGAGATTACGAGATTGGATGAAGAGTTTTCAAGAACCCACCAGTTTTTCAAAGTACCCTTGGCCACCTCCAAAGAACTCTACCTCCATCAGGCTGCACAGCAGAGAAAACTTGTAGAAACAAAACCTTGTCCCAAAAAACGCTTGCCAGTGTAATAGCGGTTGTACTTTCCGTGTCTGATTCCACTAGTACAGCAGATCCAAGTGGAAGTGTTACGCGTTACAAGTGTATATTTTCCGCTTGCCCTTTGTTTGTTAGTTGTTTACATCATTCTTCTGTATCTGATTTGATCGGGAGAAAATTGAAGAAACTCTAAATTCGTTTTGACCCTGCCTATCTAATTAATCCCATTCACTTTATTTACCCAAATCCAATTTCCGAGACTGGCTCTGAACGGAAGAGAGGAGAAAGGAACGAGACTACCCAGCTTTGTCTCCAGTGCTAATAACATGTATTGACTCACTCGCGTGAACAATTGGAATAAGGCGTTATACAATTTTGGATGCACAAAACTAATAAATCTCAAAAGTAATTAAGTTTACTAACCAAATATTTCCTCGTCCGCCTTCAAAAGCAGCTTAAAACTACAAATTTTTAATTGCAACATAGAGTGATAAATATTTCTTAAGAGGTTTTGAAACCAGGCAAAGTCTTAGTCAATTTACTCCTTTATGTGCACGCATGGTACAGTATTTGTGATGGCTTGGATCAGATGAAAGACCAATCATTATTTTGCATTACAAAAAGGGTATTAACGGATAAACGTGTCGATTAAGTCACTAAGATTTTGCTGCATCATGGTTTAACACAATTCAGTTTGATTGACTCTAGTTACAATCATTTTATCGAGCTGGTGAATTGTTTACTTATCACGGATCATTGGTCAAAGTGGTCGTTAGGTGCTTCAGTTGTCTCGTTGTGATAAAGGCACACGGCTTTGGCCACGCAAATGAAATTCATCTCGGTTTCCTCTGATCTTTCAAAAAATGCGCTCATAATGGTTTAGCATTTGGTCTCTTACACGTTTAGATCCCAAGTGAACAATGGCGATGGCCTAGCTTGGCTTTTTGACAAAGGCTGAACGTCGAAATTAATCATAATGATAAAAGAAATAGACGCTCATCAATAATACATGAAGTTTAATAATCTCATTTTTGGATTTGCTTCGCCCATAAAACTATTAAGTTAAATAAAAAACGTCATTGACTTGCTTTGTGCACGACCTTCATTGAA